AAAAAATAGACAAACAAATAAATAAATAATTCTCTATTTTAAACAGTTATTCCTATGTGCTTTGTGGTTGATCCTAAAAATTATTTGCTGAAGTGATAAGAAAAAATTTTGTTGTGCAAGTGTTGGTTAAAATATTAGGTAAATGTCTTTTAGGTAGTTTGGTTCCTTTTTGCAGTCCAATACATTTCATAAAAAGGGTTTAAAAGCCCAAGATTTATAAATAAAAGATCTTGACAAAATATATGAGAAAATGACCTGCCTCATCAAGTTTGGGTCCATGTACAAAACAGAAGGATGAATAGATATTGACTATGCACAGGGAAAATAAACTTTTATTTTATATTTTCTTTTTCTTTTTTTTCCTCTTACTATTCTCTTTAACAGGCCCAATATTTGTTTTGTGGAATATTATTTTATTCTCTATCCTCATTTTTATATGGGACATCTAATTTCTAAACTTTGTTAACATTTCAATGATATTTGTACTTTTGTCTATTTTTTAATACTTATTACTGGGAATTAATGGAATTCAAATTTGGCTGGAAGGTTACCAAAATCAAAGAATTTTATTCATCCTTGAAGATGCTGTGGACACTCCTGAGTTTGTTAGATATTTTGTCTTCTTCATGTACATTCCTAGAAATAAAAGCATGGAATGTTGCAGTATGTCTCTGGAATAACCTTTTTTACTGGCAAATCTGTTGCTTAGTCAACGACATTGTAAACTGACAAAGGCTGTTGTGTGCTGGTATTATCTAAAAACATTGGTAATTTGACAAACTAATGTTATCTGGATAATATGTGATCCTGTCTGTATGCTGTTAGCTGTCCTTGGAATGCTGGTCATACAAGGAAACAAGTAAGTTAGTGATGTAATTTTTGTGGAGCTTAATCTGTAAAGCCCTAACTCTGGGATGGTGCAGTGTAAACAAGATAAATGCTAATAGTGCAGCCTGTTGTCACTGGGCACTATAAGTTCATTCTAGTGAACACGTGTTCATCTTATTCCCACAAGACCTCCTTTCCCAGTCCATCTCTTGGTACAGTCTTTGTCCTATTAGCAACACACTGTACCTTTCTAGTACAGGTAGTCTATAGATGAGAAAACATTAAATTACCATGAGTTCAATACTATTACTCATTGAGTGAGTCATTAAGATTCCTGGACCCAGGCATTTAGAAGGAAAATATTTATTTCCTTTTAATCTAAAGTTGGTGAGACAGGGGCTGGGAGTTTAGCTCAGTGGCACAGCACCTGCCGGCAAGTGCAAGGTCGTGAGTTCGATTCCTGGTACCAGAAAAAAAAAAAAGTTGGTGAGATAGAAGTGAGGGACATAAAAGAAATATTTATATCTGGAGAGTCTTCACCTTTTGAAGTAGAATTCCCCTACCTTCAGTTAAATGTATCTTTTGACACTCACTTTTTTTCTCCCAAAAATAAAAAAATGGAACAAAATAATTCAACTGTTAATGGTGGAGCTGGAAGGAATAATCCCTCAAAATTGAGCCTAAAAGAATCCCAATACAAAGTAATTGACCTGAAAATTATACTTGTTATAGAACATTTTCAGAGATTGCTTTGACTCTCTGACTTTCTCATTATTTGTTACTTTTTTAATGTGACTGTGATGTTCTTTTCATTGATATGTAGAGTCTGTTTCACATGTTTGACTTTTAACTAGCCGCATGATTTAAAAAATATTTTTTGTTGAATAGAATATGATGAAAGTGAGCATGTGTCTGAAGGAGTCTTAGTGTGTATTTGCGGGTCTTGACCATAACATGGTCTCTGCCTTGTGAACAATCCTGGCTAGCCTGCTGTAGGACAAGGATACAGAGCACAGGGTAGTTGTCACTCCAGCCTCCCCCAACAACTAGTCAAAAGAAAGCAAGCAGCTTAATCCACTCTGCCAGTCTGTTTCTTTTGACTGGTGAATTGAGGCCATTTACATTTATGGTTCTAACTGATATGTGTTGGCTTATCATTGTCATGTTATTTACTTGCTCTTGGTTTCTTACTTTTTCTACTTGTTTAATTGCTTGCTCTACTTGAGGGTTCCTTTCTATTGTTCTTGAAATTGTGGTCATTTTTTTTCTCTGTCTAGAATATCTTTTAGTACTCTTTGTAAGGATGGTTTGGCACTCATGAAGTTCTTCAGTTGTTCTTCATCATGAAAATATTTTATTTCTCCATTGAATTTGAAGGATAGGTTAGCAGGATACATCAGTCTTGGTTGGAAGCTGTTTTGTCTCAGGACCTGTAATACTTCACTCCAAGCTCTTCTCGATTGAATGGTTTGTGTGATTCTGATGGGCTTTCCTTTATAGGTGATCTGTTTTTCTCTAGCAGATTTTAATATTCTGTTCTCTTGCTGGAAATCTGGGATCTTGATTATTATATGTCTGTGTGTAGTTTCATTTTGGTTATGACTAGTTGGAGTTCTATATGCCTCATTTACTATATATCAGATTCTGTTTCCATGCTCGGGAAATTTTCTGATAGCTAACATAGTTGTACTACTGACTTCTATTGATTTACTGAAAGGAACAGTTAATGATTAATTATTTGATCAATCTTGCATGTGTCTATTTATTTTCCTAAGAAATCACTTTGAAGATATCAATATGTAATACAACCATTGTTAATTTCTTACCACTTTGTCTGTAACTCTGTATTGCATGTATTGTTCCTAAGCTGTTTTGTAAATGGGTGACTGTTTGTTAATATGTTTTCCTTCTTTTATTCTTAAAATAAATTAAAAAAAGAAAGCAAGCAGCACATTTGCAAGATCTTAGCATTGATTACCAAAGTACCTTCCTCAGATGCACATTTGAACTAAAAAAAAAAAAAGCAGAGGAGAAAGGTCCATGAGATTTCTCAAAATATAGTTTTATATAATCCTGAAACAGAATAGGGGCTGACACAGATGCACTCTTCCGTTTTATTTTTTCTTGATTTCATTCTTTTCTCTAAAATATAGTTTTATATAATAAAAAAATATATTATTTGTATGTGTTTGTGTTACATAATGAATGCCTGGATTGTGCAGAATTGGTACACATATATTGCATCTTGCTTATTATTACTTTTCCTTTCCTCCCTTCCTTCCCATCTCTCACTTTCCCTAAATTCCTTACTGGTCTCCATCAAGTCAATCTTCCTGTTTCCTACTGTCTATGTATTATTTTCTCCTCTAAATTATTTATATGTTGAGTATCACATGTAAGACTACATATACAGCCTTCTAGGTTTAATTTATTTCACTTAACATTCTGGTCTTATGGTGCATATTGTTTCCTAAAATGCCTCAAATTTATGTTAAATCACTTATTTGGGAAAGACTTTTTCACAGTACTAGCTTGCTGAACCAATACTGTATGGAGACACTGTTGAAGATATCAGAATAATCTGGTGCATTTTATATCAGACATTTGATATGATATTTAAAGACAACCTTTCTGATTACTTGGTGGTTTACATTTAATTTTAATAATAATATTAAATAGTGAGCACTGGTGTGTTTCCATTTAAGGTAACCACTTGAGAGTAGGAGGACAAATATGTTAATTCAGGGCAAAAATGTGCTCCTAACACCTATTTTTTTAAATTTCAAAACCCATAAATAGTTGCAGGAGATTATTATACTATAAGGATATTATTTCAAATTCAAGTTTATGTGAAATTTATTCTTTATTCATTTTAAACAGAAAAAAGGTCATTTAAGAATTGCAAATTAAAAGAACACTGAGATTCCATTTCACCCAAGAAATAAAGGTTATTATGAAGAAATCAACCAATAACAAATGCTGGAGGGGCTGTCAGGGAAAAGGAACCTTCTGCATTGCTGGTGGAAATGTAGAGTGGTGAAACCACTATGGAAATCAGTGTGGAGTTTCCTCATAAAACTAGGATTAGAGGTCTCACTTAAACCAGCTATTCTCCTTCTGGGTATTTATTCTTTATTCATAAGCATCAATGAGTTTACAACATCAAAAAAATGAAAATGACAGATTTCATGCACATTGTTTTCCTGCTTGCATATTGATATTTATGACAAACTTTGAAAAGAGGAAAAATTTTGTACAGAGTAATGAAAGAAATATTTTAGAAAGTACTAGAAAATGTTTACATAGATGACAGGAATAACGTAGAACATGACACCAAATGTTTAGCCCACTGAATGAAAACTCTACTCATGGTCTCTGCATAACACTAGTTCTGTGAACTAGTGTTCTTGTGAACACTCCAGGCATTTCAAGAGAATGCAGATGTACATAACCACACTTATCTTCATAGATATATGACTGAAATTCAATGTACGATTAAAATGTATAGTTGTGTAAGTACTTCTCTGATTTTAACACCATGTTAATCAATCCATCTTTACAAACTTGTTTTTCTTGGAAGGATACACATTTAATGTATAGTTAGTTGACAGTAATATTTCTTTATTACTTTTTGACAAAATATATACAATGCATTGTGAAAATGTGCAGAATAAAAGAGTAATATCATTAGGAGGATCATAATTTCCTACAGTTGAATAAAAATAAAACCGTTTGAAGTGTACATCATAAAGAGCATTAACGTTAACAATTAAGAAAGGAATAATGTAGAAAAAATTGAAAAGGTATTGTCTCAGAATTTCTGTTAAATAAAAAACAATACAATCAATTGTCTATTTTTATTCCATATGATTAGTTCAACACATCACTCTGTAAAACTGATGAAAATATTTAAAATTTCTCTGATGCTTAATTGAGAAGAACATTGGCAAAAATTAGCCAGGTAAAATACTGGATATCGGAGAAAGTAGAAGTCATATAAATCAGGTTGTTTTAATTACATGCAGTAGCTGAAATTCAAGTGAAAACTCCCTGGAATAAATTGCAGCAGCAAATTGTACTTCATATTAGATTAAAGAAGAGCAAGATCTGGTTCTGAGGTTTAGAGTACCACGAACTCAGAAATTTCCTGCATTTTGGGTGTTTCATGGCTTCTATCTAAATAGTCTTCTCAGAGCTCCCATTATGCCCTTATTCCTCAGACTGTAGATAAATGGATTCAGCATGGGTGTGACCACACTGTACATCACTGAGGCTCTTGCAGTTGACTGTGAGTTTTCGCTAATATAAGAACTAAAGTAAACACCCAGGATGGTTAGATAGAATGAGAAAACAACCGAGAGGTGAGATGTACATGTGGAAAATGCTTTATACCTCCCCTGAGCTGATGAGATTGTATTAATGGAGGAAACTATTTTCACATATGAGTAAAGAATACCAACAAAGGGACCAGCACCCAGAAGCACAGCTGCAAAATACATCACCATAGCATTAGCAAATGTGTCAGAACATGCAAGTAGTATCAATTGATTAAACTCACATAAAAAATGTGGGATTTTCAAGTCTGTGCAAAATGACAGCCTTGTTGTCATTAAGCTTTGTAACAAAGAGTATAAGGCAGCTGTTACCCAGGACCCCAGCACCAGCAATCCACAGAACCTTAGGTTCATGATGACCATATAATGCAGAGGGTGACAGATGGCCACAAAGCGGTCATAAGCCATCACAGTCAAAACCAAGCTGTCCAAAACTCCAAAGAGTGTGAAAAAGTATACCTGTGTGATGCAGCCTCCAGAGGTGATGACCCTGCTTTGTATCTGAATATTCACCAGCATCTTCGGGATGCTGGTAGAGGTGAAGCCAATGTCTGCAAAAGATAGGTTGGAGAGGAAGAAGTACATGGGTGTGTGAAGTTGGGTGTCTGAGATTGTGACCAGAATGATGACCAAGTTTCCAAGCACAGTGACCAGGTACATGAACAGGAATAGTCCAAAGATGAAGGGTTGTAAATTGGAGTCCTCTGAAATTCCCAGAAGAAAGATTTTATAAATTTGTGTGTTATTTTCTGGTTCCATATAGTTGGTGTGACTAACTGAAAAACAGGAATATAACATGACACAACTAGGGAATACAAACCTGACAGAAATGCCATCATTCATATAGTACAATGAAGATGCCAATTCTTATATTTTTTAATGAATTTTTTCCCCTTTGAGATATTCCACTGACATCTTTGATTTGAGATTCTATTCTCATTCTCCATCTTTCCCAAGACAGTATGTATTCAAATATATTAATTTCTCTCTATCTTTGAGAAAAATTATTTACCTGTCAATTTAAAATTACTGTTTAGGGAATTACTGACTAGTACTAAAAGAATTGACTGTCCTTAAAATCAAATGAGGGGAAACAATACAATCAAATTGAATCAAATCACAGGTAGGTAAGAAATTATCATCCATCTTATTAGATGGCACCTTCTCCTCTAAAGGAAGAAATCTCTAATAATAGAAGTTCTAGATGTTCAGATGATGAGCATATATGTGACACTTAAAAAGAGACTTTCAGCAAATCAGGGAGGATTCCATATAGTAATTTCAGTAGGTTGTGCCTGGGAGAGAGAAAGACCAGTGCAAAAGTCCTGAGGGTAGTCTTTTTTTGAATGTTTGAAAATCAACAATGTGACAGTACGAACAGGAAGAATGAGTGAGAGAGACTGACGAGAGACTGTTATGGTTTGTGTCTGCATGTTCCTCCAAATACTCCTGTAGTCATGGGGCAGGCTTCTAGATTTATGAGTGATCCATAGTCCAATGTTGAGATTATGGGTGTGAGTGCTACACTCTCCCTGTGCCATGTGCCACTCTGCCTTGGAGCCAGCCAAGTATGGACTGAAACCTCCACAAAGTGTGAGCTAGATAAATCTTTCCTTTGTTAATTTTGGGTGTGGGGTATTTTGTCTCAGCAATGAGAGAAAAGTAACTAATACAGAGACATGAAGAACCAAATGGCCTCATTTCCACTCAAGATTCAAGGCACAAGAAATATCTCTTTACAGATATTATTGCATTTACCTTTCAAGTTGTCCCCAATGGCCTGTGTGAATTGAAAATCATTTTCTCTTCTTCTCTGTATTTTTATGTTCTAATGTCTATACTATAAATTACATTTTGGAACATATTAAAATGTTTCCTGTCTCTGAAACCTGCTTTCAGCTCTAAAGGAAGACACAGGTACAAAGACACACACACACATACACACACACATACCACTTAAAAACATGCCATATTTATATATATTGAGTTTTTGAAAATTTTGTGCTGTCAACTTTGGAAAATGTTATTCCAGTTTGCTGTGTTGAGTTGGCATTGTATAGAAATTAACAGCCATATTGGTCTAGAAATGTTAAACTTATTTTTTTCCTTTTGTACAGGGGCAACACACTGTATTAAATATGTAAGGTCTTATCTTTTGGGTTTGATTACATAAACTAATAAAAGTATTCTGAAAAAAATAACATGCCACAATGCATAATCTCCTAAAGCCATGTACACTGTGTTCTTCTCACCTTTATCAGAGTATTTAAAAGAAATGATTACCAAGCAAGATATCAACATCAAAATGTTTTCTTCAAAGTTTGTATGAATTGTGCCCAAGTCCAGTTTATAAATCTGTGATACACTTGTAAACTTGGGCTTCTATTTCAGCATTAGCATTTTCTATCTGTAGTTAATCGAATACAAAAAATTTGTCCAAAGAACACAGAGATAGACTAAATGGGGCTCAAAAAATGGACTGTAAGTAAATAAAATCTTCCTGGCTACTTTCCAACTTCAATTATGTTAATTGGAGGAACACAAAAACCAAAAATCAAAGTTTTTCAAACTGCAAAATTGATAATATTTTTTCCTACTAAAATACTTATGGATTTAATATTCAAACAGTGGAGAAAACCATAAAAAGGAAAATACATAAAATTTCAAACAGTGACATCTTCAAAGAACAACAAAATTTGTATAAATTTATATAAACTTTAGACAGTTTCTTTATACCATTTGAAATGAAGTTGAGTAATTGGAAATTTGAAATTTTTACTCACAGATAATAAATGTATATATTCATAAGGTACACTGTGATGCCTTCATAGTTGTATGCAATGAGTAATTTTAAAATCAGAAGTATTAGCATGCCCACTACTTCAGATGTTTCTGATTTGATAACTATCAAAACCATCTCTACCAGCTATTTTGAAATCTGTAGTACATAATTGTTAACTACAGTCACACAACTATAAAAATAACACCCTCAGTCCTGCTTCCCACTACTACAACTGCACCAACTGACCAACGTCTCCTTACCCATCCAACACTTCAGCTATTGGTAATCATTATTCTACTATCTATTTTGTGAGAGCATCTATTGAAAATCCACAATAAAACCAAATTGATATTTGTTTTTCTGGGGGTTAAACCAAAAACTTTATGATAAATGCCAATTGTATTTTGAATGTTACAAGAGCTTATGAAACAATCCTCTCTCTGTCTCTATCTCTGTTTTTCTCTTTCTGTGTCTCTTTCTGTCTCTGTCTCTCTGTCTCCTTTTTCTCTGTCTCTCTGTCTCTGTCTCTTTGCCTCTCTCTCTCTCTCTCTCTCTCTCTCTTGATTTAGTGTGGAATGTTTTCTCTGTTATTCCCAGGCATTCAAATTTCAAATTTTTGGACAGTTCATTAGGTTATAATCGTCAGTCATCATTTATAGGACTCCCAAGACCATATTTCATAAAATCTTGCATGCACCAGGACAATTTTTAACTTTTACACTGAGTAAAATTCTGCACGTGTCTATCCACTTCGCATCACACACACTTTTATTACTCTGTGTTCTATATTAATATGAATGGTGCAAAATGCAAACAAGCAGAGGCTTAACTTGCTGCATTCATCTTTCTGTTCTCACAGAAGTGTGTGGATATCTCTGCTTTACATATAATAAAATTACAGAATGCTAAATAAAGAGGTTAAAATGAATAAACATAACTTTATTAGAAACCAAATGGAATAATAAACATTAAGTAAAAGAAAATATACAATATCAATGTTTTGCTGTTCTCCACATGAATTAATAATTAAATTGGAAAAGATCTATATGCAAATATGTCCAATAAAGCAGATCCTTTGACTATTGCATCTTCTCCAACAGTGATGGTGAATGTATGGCGCATGTGACACAGTGGGCTCTTTGTTATCTTAGAAAGCTCTGGTGCACATAGAGCATCAGTGCTCTAGAATATTTCTAGTTTCTATTTCTCCAATGAGTCAAAATTTATATCTCTGCATGTATGAATATTTAACATATGTAATAGATATGTTTTAATTCAGTTGGGAAATCCTGAATAGTTAAATAAAAATGGGCATTAATGGCTATCTGTATGGAGGAAATTTAAATTGATACATAGATCACATTTCTTAAGAGAAATCAGAGGTATAAAACACCGAAGTAACAAAGTGAATATTCCAATTTAGAGGAATACCAAAAATTATATGAACTGCATGTATGCAAAGTTATCTGGTAGAAGGCAAGAAACTCAGAATTAAGAATAGAGACCTATTCAGTGATACAGTTTGAAACATTTTATACCTAAAAACATCTTTCAAAGAATTAATAGAGAAAAAACTAAACTGAAAAATTCCATTGAAATGCTGAACCATCTATTACTGAATTCCATATAATCTTTTCTTGTCTCTGTGTTAATAAACATGTCAATATATTTGACAAATAAGCAATCAGCAACAGTAATATCTTAACTGTAGCTGGGTTAGAGTGGCTGTTAGGTACCTTAGGTAGAAGTTCTTGTCTTTCAGGCTCTCAAAAGCTTCCTGCAACATATTATGCAGTGTAGTACTCACCTGGAAGGATTTTCTGGATGGAAGGTCTAAATGGAAATCCAATTTCCTCCTGGATAGTTTACAAAGCAGCCAGAAGCTATGCTGTCACCAAGACAGTAGGAAGGGGTCAAGTATTAGTCCCCAAGATAGATGCATGAATTCAAACCAAACAAGCATGTCCCATTAAGGCCAAGAATGCACATCCCAAGGTTGTAAGGTAGAGGACTATTTAAAACTCTGCATATCTGCTCATTAAGCACATCTCCTTCTTTTAACCCATGCCTGAACATGAGTTTCCCATGGGATGTTGCTCTGCACAAAGCAATTTTCCTTGCTGATTCTCAGGTCCCCAAGACACCAAGTCAAATGGCAGTGAGCCAGTCCTTATTACTTCTTTTCCATGGTGTCTTCTGTTCCCCAATGGTCTCGACATCTAATGCTTAATCCTAAAACTGGGTTATAGTTTTCTCTAAAGTCTGGCAGTAAGAATCTTTCTTAACTAGGACCCTTGGATTCTCAGGGCCTTGACTGTACTGTGGACAAAACTGAAACCTTCAGAAAATTTTCTACTCCCTTCTTCAAGAGGGAATTTTACAGGGAACCCTTGATATCAAACTATGAATACTACAATACATGGCTTCTTGACAATTTTTCCAAAACAATAAAGTTAAGATCTTATAACACAATTTAGGTTCTCTCATTTAATCATAAATTTATAAAACTACCGATATTTCCAAGAGATTTATTTAGATTTTTATGCGTATCTCCCTGAGATTAGCAATTTATAAGCCTTCTCTGATTTTTAAAAGTATATGCTTTGTTGTCTGCACTGCTATAAGCTTCATTCTACATTTATACAAATAATGCTCAAAATGGTTAACTGACCTGCCCAACTAGGAGTTATTATCCAAACATGAATTTTAGGAAGATGGAAATATTCACTTTATAACAGAATGAATAGTTATGAGGACAGAAAGTGAATGCACAGAACACTGCAGTTGCTTAGGAGGTATTTTCTGTGGAAAGAATACAGAGATGATTTGCTAGTACAGTTACTTTGAGGTGTCATTTGGAAACACTGGTGCAGTACCTCAGGCTGGTAGATGAATGAGAAGATGCAGGGTTGGGAAAGAGAATTGTGCCAAAGGTGTGGATAGAAAAAGGTGACAGCTCCCAGTGCTGAAAATGAGC